AGGAAAGTTGGCTTTGGTAGATTGAATTAGAAGATTTGATTCGATACAGGAATATTCTTTTATCATAAGTTAGAGTTGATTATAATTTACTTTACTCTTCTTTATGCTTTCCCAAAAGTCAAATTATCTTTCCGAAAAAAAGTAAGTTGACGTCATCATCTGATGGTAACTTAAACGAGTAATTTTTTTTTAATAAAAATAACTTCGTTTCCTTTAATGAATCTCTTTGACGCTTCAAATAAATCTTATCTTTTTTCAACATTGAATTAAAGATATTTTTCACGGAGATAGCTTTGTAATTAAATTAACCATGAGATCCTTCTAATGTTTGCATTTTTTCGCTTGACTTATTTAGTGGTTTAACTATTTAATTCTTTAAGCTAAAATCATGCAAGTATGTTAATATTTTTAAATAATATTTTTAGTAGCCTTTAGACGCCGATGTAGTCTTTAGATGGCTAAACGATTCACATCCTGATATTACGCTTGTTGCCGTAAGTTCCATTCGAATTACACGGCTAAAAATTTCTGTAAAAATAATTAGAAGAAAAGCAAGTTAAAATGCGCAAATTCTCATTCAAACACGTGTTAAAGAAGTTTTCTGTTTTAAGGCATTTTAATGTTTGTTTATTTTCGCGTGACTTATTTAGTTGTTAAACTTTAATTCTTAGCTGCTTTTAAACGCAGATGTATTCTTTCGGTGGCTAAACAATTCCTTTCCCGATGTCACACTCATTGCAATAAATTCCCTTCAAACTACACTGATAAAAATTTCTGTGAAAATACGCAGAGAAAAACAGGATTCTTGTTCAAACACGTGCTTGTGAGTTTTTTGTGCTGATCCTTTTATTGTTATTCTTTTTCGCTTGATTTATTTAGCGTTTTGATAAATTCCCTTCGAACTACTCTGCTAAAAATGTCTGTAAAAATACGGAGAAGAAAAACAAGAATCTCTGTTAAATTGCGCAAATTCTCATTCAAACACGTGTTAAAGAAGTTTTCTGTTTTAAAGCATTTTAATGTTTGTTCTTTTTCGCCTGACTTATTTAGTTGTAAAACAATTTAAATATTGGTCTTTTCTGTCTTTAATTCTTGACTGCTTTTAAGCGCAGATGTATTCCTTCGGTGGCTAAACAATTCCTTTCCCGATGTAACACTCATTGCAATAAATTCCCTTCAAACTACACTGATAAAAATATCTGTGATAATACGGAGAGAAAAACAAGAATCTCTGTTAAATTGCGTAAATTCTAGTTCTAACACGTTTCTGTTTCCAGTTAACAGAATTACGGAAAATTATTGTTTTTCTAAAGCGACTTTCAACATATTGTTATGTTACATCAGAGATACCATTGATAATTATTCCATGAACAAATTGCTGACCATGTGGTGTGAATAGACTATTCGTTTAACGCAACTTCAGACTGGTTTCAATTCCTCGTGATAAAAACTAGGGACTTGATTGGTTTGCTCTTTCTTCGATTTTATTTCAGTATATCGCAGCGTAAAAAAAAATCAGGATCAAATTATGGTAAAATACAATTTTACTGGAACAGATTACAAAACAAAAAAGTCAGTTATACCGCAATTTTTACAGCAATAATTACCGTAAAATCACTTAATCTCTCTAATTAAATAAATGTTAGTGTAAAAATAACGGTTTGATATTTTAAGGTCAAAATGAATTTTACGGTTGGTGTAAGCAAAGTGCCGGTAAATTTTACCGGAATTTTTTTGCAGTGTAGATTCAGTGTTCAATGTTTGACGTGATCTTCGATCCGGATAAAATTTAATGTCTAAGAGCCCGGAAGTAATTTACAGAGTTTTGCTTACCTTATTTCTGCAAAATTACTGAATCTCTTGTGAATATTATTCTATAGTTTAACAGAAACTTTCTGTTTTTTTCTGTATTTTTTAAATTTCGTTATTTTACATCATGAGTTAGAATTACCTTGCCTTCGGGCAAAATGAGAAAAATTTTCCTCTCCATGTAATGCAAGGCGGTTAGTTCCGTCAAATAAGTCCACTTCGAAGGCAAGTTTGTCCCAATGCTTGATCCAGGATTTCCCTTGTCTTCTGGGTTGGTAAAAAACTTTCGAAGCTTAAGTAGTTAAACATTGACTGTCACAAACTCAGAATCGGGTCAGCCGTTTAAGGTTCGTTATAAAAAAGAATAAAAACAACTGCATCTATGAGCCGCGTTCTCGTCTCTAAATGCTGTAAATGTGAGCGATTGCCGGTCAATTAGGGTTCTGCTCTGGACTCGTACCAACCACATTGCTGACGTAAAATATCCTCAGTGTTAGACAGATCATGGGTTAGAATCCTCTTGCCGTCGGGCTAACTGTGTGAGGTTTTCGTGGTTTTCTTGTCCATGTAACGCAGTTGTGGGTTGGTTTAGCTTATAAGTCCCCTATGCTTGATTTAGGAGTTTTCTTGTCTTCGAGGTTGAGTTTAAAAGGCTACGGAGTTAATCATTGACAACCGTTTAACTGAAAATAGGTCGGCTGTTCAACGGTTTTGAAATAAAAGTGTAATTGTTTGCTGCATCAAATTTTTACATAGCTGTGAAGTAACATGGTACAAAATAAATCTTTTTCTTATTAAATTAATGAATGCAATAACTACATTTTACTTCTTTCCATTAGCTGTATTTTTATAAATTGCACATATTTCTTTAGTATTAGTTTATTTCCCTTTAAATGTGAAAGATTTATTATTTCTCTGTAATTGAAACTATTATTTTGTCTTCGTGACAAGTCATAGGATGGAAGAAAAACGAGAAAATTTCATAAAAGTCCTAATCATTTATTAATATTACCGGAAAAAATAAAAGAAATCGAAACAAAATGGTGGACCCATCAAATTTGGTCAGGCATACTCCACTTTCCCGAAAAAAAAAATCTTTTCAATTCAGCTTATTTTTTCCCCGCGTTTTTGTTCTTTCTTTCATTCTTTCCTTCTCATTTTTGTTCACGTAGTAGTAGTGTTTTCCTGTTTTCATGTTCTTCGTTGTTCGGGGCGACCATATCTCACAAAACTTGACAAATTGTCGCCGAGATGAATTGATTTCTTTTTATTTCGGCTTATTTTATCCCTTTTTCCTTTACTCTTTCTTTCTTATTTTATGAAGGAGTAAGAAATGAAAGAATCTATACAATAAAAAAATATGAAGAAAAAAAAATGAGCGAAGGCAGAAAAAAATTCAAGAAAAGAAAACAAGATTAGTCTCAAATGCGCAGATTTCCCTTACATCTGCGATTGTCAACATTCGTTAAAATCAAACGATATTCTGCGTCCTGATCTTTATTGTTAAGAAAATGAAAACGATTTTAAATGAAAAAAGAAGCATTTCTCTTTCATCATTTGACATAGCGTAGATGATTAATCGAAATATGAGAAAGATTTTTATCTTATCGCGGGTGAAATACTTCTGGTAGAAAAAAAAACAAAGAACTAAAATTGGTGTTTACTTATTTATTACATTTCCATTTTGTTTTCTTTCATAATTTTATGTTACAATAAATTTTTCAGAAAAGAAATGAATTAATTATTTTGCATATTATTTCTGATCTAATTTCTAAGCATTTTTTGTGACACAATTTTTGCTATTTGACATGAATTTTTTTCGATTATAATGTTGTAAATTAGAAAAAAAAGCATGCAAAAAACAATGCTAGAAAAAAACTTTTAAAACCTATATCTCCTTTTTGGATGCCGATCTCAAATTAAAAATCTTAACCAATATTCAAATTCTACAAGAAATGCAAACGATATCGCTTTTTGAGATATATTTGTTAATAAAAAGGAAAACAATTTTAAAAGCTTAAAAAAAAGAGTAATTTTTCTTTCAACATTTGGCATCAAATAAAACACTGATCAAAATATGCGAAAGAAGAACTCTTTTAGGTTCCTGGTGAAGAATTTATGGGACAAAAATATGTAAATTAGTAGAATAAAATGGTATTTGCTTTCTTACTTGGTTTATTTTATTTGACAGTAATTATTCAGGCAATAAACTATTAATTTTAATTTTTCTTTCTGATCTGTTATCGCTTCTTTATTTGCACTGCATTCCTGTGGACTTTCCCTTAAAAATTGAATGTTTCATTCGAATTCACCTTTTAATATTTAGTACCAAAGCCAAAATAAGCATACATTTTAACAAATCGATACGTTAAGAATTATTATAATTAAAATGATATTTATTATTATGTATTTTGTTAAATAAGCCCAACGGTCTTGTAAACGGATCTTGTAAAATAGTAAATTAATATGAATAATTAATTATTTGATTGAAAAAAGGGCTATTGTATCTGTTTTTTCCTCTTTCTAAATATTTAATTGAACATTGATGCCTATTTGTTTCATTTGTATTTAAATATTTCTTATACCACTGTATGTTTAACCTATGGTTCACTATTCAATTATATTATATAGTAGATTTTCATTGTATATTATATAGATGATGTTTATATTATTAAGATAGGACACTGGTAGCTAATTTACTGAAATAATCTCTTCAACAATACTAATTTGAATCATTAGTTCGAAAAATGTATTGATAAGTATTTTTCTTTACATTCTAAAATGAATTAACCTTCGTTAAAATTTAAATAACTTTAACATTTACTAGCAACAAAATATCTCGCTAACATCTACTGCAAAATGTAATTACTTTTCCTGAAATACACGTCGTTACTTGTAATTAAAAATAGTATCTGTGTTATAATCTCAAATATAAAGTACCTATGAAATTGTGCATTTATGTTCTTTAAAATAGCTAGAAGTTCAAGCTCAAAATTGCAACTCTGATTTAGATTAGAAATGTTGTTATCTTTTATCGTTTGTTAAAACAAAAATGTTATTTTATTATTGTAGTTTTAGAATGCTATTAATGTTATTCTTGAATACTTGCTATTAATGTTACTCTATGCTAACTATGGGGATAAAATTAACTTTTTTTATCTCAAAAATTAAATGTAGCTATTATTTTTCAGATTCATCGATTCAAAAAAGCAGGTCTTCATGAAATCACTGTTATTGTGTGGGATGGACAACGAGAAAGCCAATCAACAATAACAATAGTACGTATAGATAGCTTACTTCGTATTGGTATTGTATTGTATCTCTTCTTATAAATACTATAACTAGATGCTTGCAACTAACCACGTGGTTATGCCTAATCAGGTAGTTGTGCATAGCGAGTTAATGTTACAGCTTCAAGGTTTGGGTTTATAATCATGTTAAATCAATTATCGGATCAGATTTAATTGGGCACCTGCAAGTGACGTTACTTGCAAGCATCCAAATAATTTGCGTGTTTTATGAAAAATAAATATCGAAATTTGTTGGTTGCGAAACATATTAGGTACTATGAAAACTTTCTGCAACCGCTTGCAGCAATCGTATTTTTTTTAATAGTTTTGATTAAAAAAATGAATTAATTAAAAATTTAAAAATTTATTGGAAAGAACAATACAGTAATTAGAAATACATAGCTATATAATAATTCTCAATTAATCAATATTAATTTCTATTCATTTTTATTGAGAAAATAAAACAGTGTTGAAATTTGATGTTGAGAATTTTAAAGCTTAAAAAAAATTTTAGTCCAGATTTAAATTTAGTGCAATATATTTAGTGAGATATATTTAATGCAATGCAATGAATTTGCAGGAAAGTATTTTTATTATTCTTAAGCTAGTAGAAAATAAATTTAATTTTAATTTTTAATTTTTTTCAAAAAAAAATTATGAAGTTTAGAAACTATGTATGGTTTAGCGTATAGGAAAGAAAATATTCAAAGAACGAAATTAAACTTTTATTTAATTCTCCCTTTTCTCTAATTTTCTAAAATTTCTCTCAACCTTAAAACAGAAGAAAAGACTTTTAAGTCTTTTTATGAATATGTTAATTCACAAATTTTACACTGAGAAAAAAATATGACTAAAACTTCCAGAATATGGTAAAATTTACCATGCTTCAAGCTCTATGAAAGCAACAAAAAGTTCGGTAGATTTTATCGAAGCGCTTTGGTAATGATTTTAGTAAAATTAACGAAAAAATGTGGCTTTGAAATGTGCGATAAAATTTGGTTAATGTGGTAATGTTTCGTAATTTTATCACGATATCTTTGAGCATGGCGTAAAAACCACTTATTCGGTTAAATTTACTTATCAATTTTATATTTTTCGTATAAAACCAGAATTTTAAGTAATCCATTAACATGTTAATGGAAAATTACTAAGCAAATGGTTTAAAGATATATATATATAAATANATTTTGGATTTATTAACCATAACTATGGGAATTTTTTTGACCATAAATGTCATTGCCATACAGTACAATAATTTCATCAAATTTTCCTTCTGTGTGCGCCCTTGTAGTTTAGATTTATTAAGAATTACTTATATTAACTACAGTGGTTCTTCTCAATTAAAGTATGATATACACAAAAAATTAAGATTGTCAACCTATTTTAAACTCATCTATTAATTATTAAATATCAATGCAAATGTTGAGATTTTTATTTGAGTGAAATCTCTTAAATAAAGTTTGTAGCTGTATTTTTTTCTCAATGACTGATTAATTAAAATTTATTATTTATTTTAAACGCATTTAATGTATTACAATAAAAAAAGCTAACCACTAGAAATAAATAGCATTTCTAAATTAAACTTTTGTTTGATTAATGTTTTATTATTTTTAATTAAGAGTATTACAATCTTTTTGAACTGTATTAAAGTAAGAATTAAATATTTTAAAATGTGCAAAACAAGAAAAGGTCATATTGTGTTTCAAATTCAACGTAAAGTCATGTCGTGCAATAGCACGAAATGTTTTGTTCAACGAGCATTTTTCATTAATTAAATTGTCATTCTAACGGACTACTGCATTTGGAGAATTAATGATGTTCCAACTCCATCTGAAGTCTGCAAAGTTTTCTTAAATTCTATCCATTAAAAGTGCTATTTATCATTAAAAATAGACGACGACAGCTTCCCTCTAAAACTCTGAACAAAAATGTACACCAAGTAGCATAAAACTATTTTATTAAGTTTCGTTTTTAACAATAGTAATAAACAGTGTAAGAGATTACAAAAGAATAATACAAATTACACAAAATTCCGCGCATAATATTCAAGCATATAAAAAAATTTTCATATGCTTGAACATGAACACTCAAAAATCTTGACTAAACTGAACATAAAAGTTAGATACTTATTTTTTTCGAATATTTATTCATAGCTATCCAACGCCGCTCTCGTCAAAAGTACATTTTCAATGTTAGACAGTATTTTAGTGAAATCAAAAGACTATTCATATTCAGTGAAACAGAATATATCCAAATTTATTATTTTATCTAAATAAAATTGTTTATTATTGCATAAAAAGGTTTTGTTCATACAATAAAACTTAATTAAAGTCTTAACTAGCAATACATTAAAATATTTTGTTGTTTATAACTTTTGATATCATGAGAGAGTACCCAGAAAATGTTACAACTTATTAATAACATATATAGAACAGAACACATAGCATGAAATAGAACACACCTACGCACCTTCGCTTTTATTTTTAAAAAAACTGCATATTTTAACTATAACATAAAGGATAAATGTGTAATTCTATCGTCCCCAACCGAAGTAAACATTACTGAATAACAATTTATAATTATTAAAACATAACTGTAATTTTTTAAAACTATGACTCTTTTATGGGAGAGCATAGTGTAATAATAAATCATGCAAAAAATCTAGTATGAATAGTTAATATTTTTTTTAATTGTGTGTTCGTTTTTTATTTTTCAATTCTAACATTTTTACATTTTCTCCCGTTTTTTTCGATTTACGTTTTCTAACTATATTAACTATCATTCTTCAAGACGGAGCACTGATTATTCTTACATTTTGAAAAAGAATAATGTGTGATTAACCCCAATTTAAATTGGTTTTCTAAAACCTAATACAATTTGAAATTTGAAATTTTATTTGACAAAAGCTCAACTCAAAATTATTAATAAAATTATTATATAAATGTACTTTCAATGCAGATAAATATTATTATTATTATTAATAATAATAACAATAAGTTTCATTTATTGCGCATAAGCTGCAAGTAAACAGAACTCATTCGATAAGTTCAAAATGAAGATAAAACAAAGGAAAAATACACACATATGAAAAAAAGGGTGGGAAGAAAAATAATAAAGAAGAAAAATAACAAACAACTGGGGAAAAAAAAGGATGAAATTTTTTTTAAAAATCCAGAAAATAAAAGATATAATCTTTTCATCAGCCCACACGATTNCTGGTTCAAAGACACAAATTATATAATTTCTCAGGAAATCTTTACTTAGTTTGTTTTCACATATATATATATATATGGTTCCAGCTATGTCGATCATTTGTATATATGTATTTCATGTATATATATATATATATATATGAAACTTTGATGGATTACATTAATTTCTTATTAGATTGTTGTGATTCCAATCCTGTTTAACTTCGATTACTCCTTTGAACCATCTTACGTTGTTGGACATCCCATTTCAGCAACTATTTTGGCAACTATAACCAGCAACAGAAAATGGAATGCTGCGATAACATGCAAAAACTTCAAAGCTTATACTAGGCTGGACGTACCTAAGAATAATAAAAAAACCTGTTCATTATCCAAAACTATATTTACTTGGCATTTTAATCGACCCGGAATATTCAACTGTTTGTTGTTTGTTACTGATGGAAGATTCATACTTGGAACTCGACGATATTTGTTTTATATGTATCCAGAGATCAGAAATGTGGCTATCGAAATTGATGACACTGTTAAAACCGAAACTTTGATTCCTGCTGGTGTGGTCTTTCATCAAAATATTGGTCAGCTTGAGTTTGCTGTTGAATGGACCATCATTCATCCCAATTATCAACGATCAAGTGTGGTACATGACAATGACACTATTTTGCTACTCTTTCCCCATCCTGGCAATTATAAAGTCTTTGCTACTGTTTCGAATATTTTTAGTAAAGCCATGACAGCAATAGACATCACAGCTTTAGACGGCATTCAAAATGTAACTGTTGAACCATTGCAGTCGGTTTTTTATATTAAAATAAACACTTCTCTTCCATTTTCGGTAAATTGCTTAAAAGGAACTAATGTAAGATGTCACTGGCTAATAATCTGTAGTTATCCATATCTATACAATGAAACTAAAAGTGAAATCATTCGCAAATGTGAGGTAATGCCAACATTTATTTCTTCTGGTTCGTGCAAATTGTCTTTAAGAATCTACAACGATGTAGACTTAATAACTTATCCTTTTACGTGGACTGTGTTCATTGAAAAAGCCATACCATCTCTACAAGTCTCTATTCCAGTCTCAACTAAAATAAACTCAATGATAAGTGTAGGAGTTTATATTCCAGATTACACTATGCAAGCTGCTGTTGACATGCATGCATTTAATTCGCAAACAAATGCTAGTTTTGATATGTTGGATTGGGTATACAAATCGACCTTGCTTGCGAAGGGCCTCGGACAGCAATGGATTAGAATCAGAGCCTATAACAATGTATCGACTATTACATCCAGGCAATTGGTCACTGTGTTTGATGACATTGGTACAGTTTCCATTTCTTCTATTGGTTGTCAAGTGGTGGGTTTTTCGGCAAGATTCGTAGTTTTTATCGAAGGTAAGATTCTTTGATGTATTGATCTTAAAAATAAATTTCGCTATTTTATCTTTTTATAAAATTAACTGTAACAACACTGATGGATAACACTGATGGATGAGGAATAAATGACGATTGCAATGTCGAGCAATTTAAAAATGTATTATAAATTTCCAAAATTTGAGCATTTTTCATTCGAAAAATAATTTTTAACTTTAAAAAAGAAGCATGAACATCGGAAAAAATTGACTAATAATTAAAATGGCAATATAAAATTAGATGGGGATCAAAATCATAATTTGTAAAATAAGAATTCTTTATTGATAATTAACTATTAACTATCGAATAAGTGTTTAAGATTAATTTATTGGGTTATTAATTTTATTTTCAGATACATTATAAATTTTGGAATATTTAGGATAATCTTTTTTTCTCAGGTTGTTAAAAATATCACCTACACTGTTAAAAATTCCGGATCAATTAAGGTATAAAGTACCAGCTTCTCGTATGCATCATCCGTAAAATCCATTTTGACCGTAAAATATTATGCCGTAGTTTTTACTGTAATGTTTATTTAATTAGAGGCATTCAGTGATGTTGCGTTATATATTATTGTAAAAACTACAATACACCAGTTTTTTTCGTACCGTAACTTGTTTCAGTAAAAATAGATTTTACGGTGAAAAGTACCGGCATCCTTGAGTACCGATTCCTACTACCGGAATTTGAGACGGAATATTTTTACTGTGTATGTGATTTCTTTTTGTAAAATGAAACAGAAACAAGTTAATAACTTATTACTTAGAAAACACAACTTGCATCCAAACGAACTTTTCTATCGTCTGTAACATCAATATTGTAAGGGTAATTAATTTTTAAAAAAAAGTAGGCTATTGATTCAAAAACATGAACTTTATCCGATGTTTGTTACTGATATAAATTTCCAAAACCAGCAATTAGAAGGAAGGGGAATCGATTAAATTTAAACTTTAAGCTAATCACGAGTATTATCCATTCTAAAGAGTTTGAGGGGATAATATCGATTATGTAATGATAAACAATTTCATACATTATCGATAAAAATGGAATTATTGATTAAACAATTTATAAAATTATTATCGGCATTCTAATCCTGAATACTTACTCCTTTTTCCATACAAACAGTATTTTCATGAGTGTTTAGAAGAAAGAATGACTTTTTAATAATTGTAAAAAGCATTTTATTTCTTTTAAATATTTACTTAACCAGTAAAAGGAAAATTTGGGAGAAAACCATTGATACTTCTGTAATTTATTACTTCAAACAGTGGTTGGTTTCGACTATTTTTAGCTTATCATAACAGAATTATCATAAATAATTTACGCTATTACATTGTTGTTTGTTAATCTACTGTTTTATAAATTTTAGCATTTTAAAGTGTGTGCAATATGTTCACCTCATAAGAATGAAACTAAGGAACAAGTTTTTTTTATTTAAAACCACGCAAGTAAACTAAAAAAACACACAAGTAAACTACAAAAACATACAAGTAAATACTATGTAAATTTTCGATTAAATATGGTTGAGAAAGTAAAGCATTCCCACAATAGTTTGTTGTGAGGCAGGGGGGTCAAAGAGGTTATAGTTCCACAATTTCAAAACCAATGACGTGATTGTGGTAGTGTGGTTGGTACTGCGCACTGGCCGCATTTACTTCCCACAAAAGCTGGTATCCATCCATATGAAGCTATGTTGGCTTCAAGCTGCCATTGGAGATCGAACTCAAGTTCTTCACAATAACAGCTCAGTGCCTTAACCACTGGGCCATAGCTTAATTTGTTGGATAATCCTAATAAGGTAAAATATTTATTGGAAGAGTAGATGTAACAGCATTTAGCAGAAGCATTTCATTTTCTTTTAAAACTCGAACGTCGAAAAATAAAAAAACTTGCATTTAAAAAAGAAACAGAGCATTTTCAAAATAAGAAAAATTATAAAAGTATTTCAATAATTTTCTACCTTTAGATAATTTCATGACAATATACTCTTAAATATTCTCCTTCTAACAATTTTTGTTAATAAATACGCTAAAACGAACTATAAAACTTTATTTAACATACAAGTTAAAGAAAAAAAAACTTTAAGTAAAAAATGCTTCATTATATTTTTTATCAGGAAATTATGTTTAAAATTCAGAAAAGATACTTTTGTGAGCTATAGTTAACAATAATTTGTTTTAATGTCTTTTAGCTATTCATATTAACAGAAAAAATATTTCTATTTCCCACAATTCAATATTTATCCGAAGTTAATCTGCTTAGAAAACTTTGTTGTGAGAAAACTATTTCGTAAATCAATTTAAAAATCTATCTTGTTAAATTCATACTTCTGAAAAATAAAAGAAATTATATCAAAGGTCAATGTTATATAATCATAAACATAATAATTAATTACAATTTTATGAAAGTAAATTGATTTTTTACACTTTTATTTGAAAAATAAATGCACAATCAGATGTGTAAAATTTATATCTTTAAACAGTAGTATAAATTATTGATCAAAGTAAAGAAATTACTATACAAAAGGTCTTTCTACTTTAATTTATAATATATTTTTTTTCATTTATAATGTTTTTTTTTGATAATAATTCAAATGTGATAAATGGAAAATCTGATATCTCTTAAATTGTGTGTTGTACTAGTGTTTAATTAGGCTTGTCTAAACTAAAGCTTAAGTTTGAAGAAGGATATTAACATAACAATTAACATAATGAATCATACGAGATCTGCTTAAATCAATTTAAATACTTTTAACCTGCATTTAATTTCAATTAACTATTTGTTTCCGGCCAATTCATTTTGTTTCCCTCTCTATCCATTACGCAAATCATCTTTTGTAGAATTGCAAATTTCTGCGATAAGTTTGATGTGCGAATAATTTCGCTTTAAATCACGTGACAATATCTCTAGAACATACATACAAAGACATTAGTTTTGCATCAGTTCCGATTTATCGGAGCATGGGGAATGTGTCCGGCATTGCCGGAGGGATGACGGACATTGACGTGCGAAATTAATCTGTCCAGAGAGAGAAGATGGCCGGTCAAGCGTAATCCGTGGGAACCGGTAGTGATCCGGTACTGAAGGAATGCATATATCTCTCTAAACCGAATATAGCGTTTTGACGAAGTAGTGAACCGTGAGTTTTGCATCCACTTTATTAAAGATGGATTTACTCCATATCATTGTTTTATGGACAATCGGATTTTATTTGATGTAATAGTCGAGTTTTAAAACGCTCTGATATAAGTTGTACCCAATTAGTTAAATTTCGTTAAAATTGTAGAATTATTGATAGCCAGTCCAACTATAATTCAAATAACTTCTTTTTTTAAAGAATTTTTAGAAAACATCCAATAATTAGATTCTGTAATTTTTCAAAGTGTAGAGACTTAACAGAAATTAGAATTTAGCAGTTTTTAGTTTGATCTCCTTCAGAAACATGGGATAATTTATTACTTAATGAAATTTAATTTATTTATCATTAACTTACTTATTATAAAATTTATTCCATTTTTTTAACATGTGCTGATTAGACATAAATTAAAATTTAGTCATTTTTAGTTCGATCTCCTTCAGAAGCATGAGATATTTTATTACTTGATTAAACTTAATTTGCTAATCGTTACTAATTAATTAATTTAATTTACTTATATTTTTGTTTGAAATACACAGCTAGTAATTTTAAATTGTAATGAATCTTAGTCTTTTTCAAACTTGTCACAATCTTAATATGGTGTTAAATTGAATCATCGGGCAAATTGAGCCATCTTAAACTTGATTGAGCAGTTCAGTTTGATTGAAATTTGAAGTTTCTGAATTATTCTTTTTTAATTAAGAAATTTAAGGTTTCTGAAAATTTTCTCGATATAATGATTCAAAGTACCGATATTGTGGATCAACTTTAAACCTATTTTTCTGGAAAATGTCTGCGTGTTATAGAAGTTTTTGTGTAATTTGTAAAATTTCATTACTTCTACTAATGTATACATTTGTTGAATGGGGCTTCGTATTTTATTATAAATACAAGACATAAAAATTTAAGATATTACAATTACTTAAAAGTATATTAATAAGTATTATATACAATTAAAAGGGTAGTTAAAAAAACTGTAAGCCTGTACTTTTTAAAATATGTAAGAAAGAAAATACTTCCTTGGATAAAACCTAAAATATTTCCGTTGAATGCTAGCTATTTTAATGAAGAGCTTAGTAGAAGAAGATTTTAAGTTAAAAATAATGCAAATGAAATACATACAACGTTCGTTTATATATTACATGTGCTTAAAAATCGTATCGTAGTTTTTAAATAATAAATTTATTAACCCATATTTATATTGTTTTCCATTGAATACGTAACGAGTTATTTAAGATTACTTTTTGAAAAATTAATTCTACTTGTTACGAAAATTAAAAACAGTAAGCATACTACTGTTTACTTCCAAACAAATATGAATAGAATCGAAAAACTTTATAAAAAATAAATTCTACTTGTTACGAAAATTAAAAACAATAAGCATACTACTGTTTACTTCCAAACAAATATGAATAGAATCGGAAAACTTTTATCCTTGATATTTGCATATGTTTCCAAAAAGGAAACCTATTTAATAAACCATATATGCACTTATTTTTGTAAATACTTCAATTGTGAATTATTTTAAAAACAGTTCAAAGCAAGATCATATGTTTTTCTCCCTTCGAAACTTCCTTTAAAGTTTAATAAAGATAATCAAAGTTTTGCTTCCTCTCTTTTTATGGTATTATTCTATAGTATATCTTAAAGCTTGGTTACTTTTAAGCCTAAATATTTTTAAGTTAGCGAAAATAAGTAACATCACAGACTAATATCAGTTTATTGATTTTGCAATCATCATTCATCAAAAAGTTGTTAATCGTATAATTCATCAAGCCAACATTTATTCAAATGAAATTAAAAGCAAGAGTTTTTTTTCATTTAAATCCATAACGGAAGTAAACTATCGATATATTTCGTGAATTCAAAAAATAATCCGTAGATTTTTTAGTGTTTTGAGCTCGGACATATTCTTAGCATTTTAAATTAAAACGGAAATCAAAATTACTAAAAGTAATA